GAAGGAAAGCGCGAGTGAAATAGGGGGGGTTTCAGTCAATATTCCAATGCGGGGGAGGGGAATTGGAACGATAGTGCACCGTCCACCACCACAGGGTGCCTGTCGCTCCTAGGGACGGTGCCACCACGTCTCCCATGACGTCCTCAGAAAAGAAGAGCAGGAAATGGAGGAAATTTAAAGCGGACTATATCGCAACAGATACTAACGGCGTACTCCATTACACTTCGGGTCATCCGAAACAAGCTTACGCTTGGATAATCTCAACGCAGTTCTACAGGGCACAAACCCTGTGCACAATGGAGGAGAACAAAAAGCCGCGCGGAAAGAGGCAATGGGCAAACTACTGGATTGTGGTTACCGACGGCGGCTAGTTAAATGCCAGTTAAATAACGTGCTAAACCGACAGCCACGACCCACGATGACAATATCAAATAAAATAAATCGGATAATGCATATAGATACGGCGACATAACTCTTCACTAAATGGGCGCATAAAAATTGATTACGAACGAATGCGCGGGGTATCTCCACCTAATGAGTCCAAACCAGGACGAAACCGCGGTCGTGGGGTGCCAGTGTTGGGATGAGCAACACCATAATGCTTTCATTTTATCTACGGTCCTTGTGATCGGAATGACCGAGGTCCACCTCAAGTGAATCGAGGTCTCAATAGAGGTTGCTTGTAGCAACCCAACCACACAGCGAACTCTCCAAGTCCAACTTTGAAACGTTGGCCTATTCAGGGGCGTTCAAAGATCGGTTGAAGTTGGCTTGGACTGCAATGCGTGTTTAGACAACGATAAGCCGCGAACCACCATTGTTTGAATGATCACCTTACTTCGCGTAAAGTACTAAACCGTCAAGGAAAGTGGTCGGTGGAGCCAAATTGGTTTAGTTGTTTGGACTCAGTCCACACTAATCTATGCGGTAGCCCAAACAACCGCCGCAGTACGAGAGGGGTAAATGACAGTGGGACCTCTCCAACGGTTTCTTTAGCTAGTACCGACTTGTCTTTTTCCTTGTTCATAGCAGAAAGAGCACTCATCATCATCATCATCATCATCATCAGCAGCAGCAGCATTACCGTTCTACACGTTCGCTGGATATGAGAAACGCCCCAGTTACTGTGCCGCAACAGGATGTAGTAAGAGATTCGATAAAGAGAATACAGAATAATAATTAGTACGAAATCGAAACAAGCAAGATTATGCTTCTTACTAATATGCATCAGAGAGTTTTTGGTGCCTCGGTTCGTCGATATTCGCACAAATGCCGTGATACACGTATGTCATCACATGAGATAACTAAAGCAAGTCTGTTAGTCAGCGCGGAAGTGGGATATCATCGTAATGGAAATCCCGCAACGTCGGTCAACCAAATACATCAGACGCGTGTGCCGCTGACCCCCTAAACAGGCTGACTGGTGGGAACTTTAAGTGGACTACATCGACGGTTGCGTAGTGACCTTATTATGGTCCAGTAAATTTTAAAAGACAATGAAGCCCACACAGAATGAAAAAGTAGGCCAACGCCTCAAACTGTACGAGCAATGCCGTGCTTAGCATACTTTGAATAGCTTCTCAGGATTCGTTATTTTTGTACCTCCATCGATCGTGATCAAAAACCGTGTCGACAGTGCATTTGTATGCCCACTTCCCCTAATATAAACAAAAGAACTAGTGGATATTTGAAAGCGCAAACGCAAAAATTCGCACTAACGTTGTTAGGAACTAGAAGACGATAATTCCATAGCGAGAACCAAATAGGTGAGAGCGGCTTCTAGTCATGGCGACGAAGATCCATGGAATGCAGAAAAGGTGAGCACGTATGATTCCACTCATCTGCGAAGGCCTTCTTGGATGCTACGTGTTGTGCTCTCACTGACAGCCTTAGTCGAGCGCTACCCGCATAGTTTGTCCCGGCACACATCCATCTGCGGTCTCTGGTCGTTTCCATTCTATCTCGATGTGGATTTGATTCACAGTTGACGCGCTACCGTCCGGTTTGCCCATTCGTCCCATACTACTGGCTTTCAACGCAGTATTACTTACTCGTAACATACTTTAACATAGTTGCATCGTTGCTTATGTAAATGATTGCATTGCATAGCAATTTGGTTGGAAAGTAAATAGTTCCCGATTGATATTTCACTTTCGTTTTTGTTGATCAACAGAAATGTAAAGGTTAGGTTGGCAAGGGAGTGCTGCAGTCATCCAGAAAAAAAATCCATCAAACGCCTAACACGATTCCTTATTAGCAGTGAACAATGAGGACAAGGCACTTAAAAACCGTATGCTCGATGGAGATTTACGCATTCTTCAAATCCGACGACTGCACAATCGTAAACTTCCACTTCATAAGAGACGGCTGAAGGTAAATAGGTCGGGATGTTTTCCAACACTGGTTGAATAGGAAAGTAGGAAGGAATAAGGAATCCTAATAACTTACCTACTTCAAAGAGGGTCAAATCCTGAAACTTACGACCCTGGGATGTACTATTTTCCAGTTTTGGCCCCTATAAGTGATGGAGAGATCTAGGTAAGTCGGCGAATCTCCAAGTAACCACCCGTGTGACGACTAGTACCGCGCTGACACCGGGAAAGTGCTAATCGTCAATCGAAAAGAGAGACGCCCTGCCTCACGTGAATCCGATGTGTCCGGTGCCTTCGAGGCTTGACAGTGGATCCCATACTAGGAGTGATATCTTAAAAGCGATAACTAAGTGGAAAAAATAAACATAATGTGTCAGCTGAACGCCGTAACGGCGCTTCGCTGCTGCGCGACCACCACTAGTCGCGCGCGGGCTGAGTGTACCGCGAGGACGCCCACCCCTACGCGGATTCGAACCGGTGACCTTATGGTTGCGCACCAGGTGCGCAGACGACCAAGGCACCGGCAGACAACACAACTGCTAGAAAGCAGCTTTGGTAGGTCCCCTTCTTGGGACGTGCCCGAGACACGGTCTCCACGTTGTATCGCAACACGAACCTGAGAGGTCACCAGTTCAAGTTGGCCACGCAATACAGTCGGCTAGAATGACGGTGAAACTTTTGCTCACTTTGTATCTATGTTGTTTCTGTTCCCACTTTATAGGTATTTAAAAAAACGCCTTTTCATTGCCCTAATCCACCTAGATTGCGAGATATAGCCTGTACACATGAAGATATGATATAGCGTATCAAACGGTGCACCAGCCAGCGAAAATCTACACAATGGTGGTTGACTGTTTCATACATATACCTGTGTGAACACTGTGACAAGTCCAACAAAATGCTTTCCATTTAATCATTATGTTTGAATGTTATAATGTTTTCGTCCCAGTAGTTCACAAGCCACATAGCACAGCCTAGCTCGGGAAAGCAACAGACGCGCGTTACGCCATATTGGAGTTCGTCAGTGGTGCGCATTCCTTCGGTCCCCTACTGGAGATTGAACCCATGTGGCAGGTGCCAACTAATCAACAGCTTAAGCCACTAATCCATGGGGGACGTTGGCTGAGCTACATAATTGGCAAGTTAACTGGGATATAGCACCACTTATCTTCCACTGTTACTGACAGTGGTTAGCCTGCGAGGTGATGACGTCCTGTCGCAAGACATTATATCTATAGTATTTGAAACTTGAAGAGGTTATTTATTTTATGTTGTAATTTTTAAGATATTCATCCCAGCAGTTAACAAGCTACATAGCACACCCTAGCCAGGGAAAGCAACAGACGCACGTTTCGCCCTATTGGGGCTCGGTAGTGGTGCGCATTCTTTCGGTCCCTTACTGGGGATCGAACCCATGACCGCTAGAGGCAGATGCCAACTAGCCAGCAGCTTAAGCCACTGAGCCATGGCGGACGTTGGCTGAGCTACATAATTTGCAAGCTAACTGGGATATAGCATATTTTAGTGTCACCATGCGTGTCATTCTCATTCTGACCATCCCACAGGACGCATTTGCTGTCTTACCCGTAATACACCATTGTTCCATTGTTTACCAGTGGTCGAAGACTATGCCAGCGCATCTTTCACTGAACAGCAATGGTCCAATTGGGGCGATCAAATAAGACAGAAGTACATGGCTAAGAGCGACTGTGTGAGTGCACACTTCAGTGTTCAAACAGCCAGATGGACATAAAGGCATGCTTAGTACGTTGTTGTATATGAGGAGGCTCACACGACGAAAGTGGAACACGAGAACAAAGTCGAAAATTCAGAAGCGGTAACACATGATATTGAAGTCATGGGCATCCGGGCTATACCTACAGGTGGAAGTCAGGCAAGCTGGGAAAATGCGATCGGAAACTTCCTGATTCCTAAAAAAACCCATCGAACTTAAGCTAGACACATGTAGAGTCACAAACATGTATCTACATTAAATTACAGAGGAAGACCTACGTAAATTTGCAAAGGCGCCACCGGGTAGTCTCAATCCGTCCATCTCGGTGCCGTAATGACATGAAAGCATGGTTTGAAGCTCAAACATCATATCCAATGTCATCTGAAGACACTGGATAAGCTACCGGTGAGTTGGATGGAACGTTATGTTCCGCTGGTTAGTTCTGCACGAGTACAAAGCACAAACGTGGCTGTTTTAACGCAAACAATGGTAAGGTGAACGAGTCGAGTGTGTCGGTGTGACAATAGGATCCGGGGTTCCCATACTCCCGACGGAGTAGTATGTGCTCCACAAACAGCGTGACTGAGTCCACAAAGCAATTCACTGGTAGACGTGCGTGATACGATAGTGGAAGCAACAATCGAGGGGACGTACGAAGAAAGGACAATCGCATCAAATTTCTAGGTAACGATATCATCGGTGACAAATTTAGGTCGACTCACGAAGATAAGGGGATTAGGAAAACATCCGGACAGGTAGAGAGTGGGTCACTCTTGAGCACAGCTGAAACGCTGAACTCTAACGAGTTAACACATACAGCCAGCGGAAAGGCAAAATAGGCAAGCAGGAACAGGAGGTATTGTACGTCACACGCGCATGTAGTGGCGGCTTACCTGTGCGGGTTCGAACGGTTCTTCGACCTCTTTAAAACTGGCCAGCAGACGGATGTCGGTGCAGATTTTATGCACCGTGGCGCCTAAACTAGACAGCACGTTGACAATCTCGGTGTCCAATTTGCGTGGATACGTCTGTCCAGTGACGTGCCAGATGCGTAAGAATCCGGCCTTGGCAGCCACCAGTTGATCCAAGCGCAACACCTAGAAGGTGAAGTAAGAAGGAGAAGTATGGGTAATGGATGGAAATTGTCAACATTTGCTACAGTGCGGTTAGCAGTATTCCCCTGTATACTGCACCCCTGCTGGGGAACACGAAGCATTGACCACTTGGCTGATGACCGTGAAAGCAACGCAACAAAGTTTTTCAGACACATCGACGATGAACGCGCAACGTTTGTCCTCATAGAAATAGACTATCGTGGAAAAGCTTGGGCACATTACGCGATTCATTAGAGACTAGAATTCCTGGCAGAAAAAGATCTAGAAAGTGAGGCGGCGGATAGAAATTAAACTTGTTAGTTATCTCAATCATAACTTGATGATAGCCATGTTTCCATCAAGAAAATCAGCAAACAAATGTTTTCAGTATGGGCCGAAAAAGGTACAACCAATGGAAGAAAACAACTACACTAAAATGAGCACCAACAGAAATCGACACTACTGTACCCTTATCTTACTCATGCAAGAGCATGGTTACCGCTGCACATGACTCTCTGTCCCTATTACAAGAACGGCCTCCACCGCGCGTGTGATGGTAACACCACGTAAGCAACGCAGAGATCCGAGACCGAGTGCTTGGAGCGAGTAGTGCCAGTCTTCAGGAGGTTATTCTCTGATATTGCTTGCGTTGGCTCGGGCACGTTCTGCGCATGCCAGCCCATCGCCTTCTACGTCGAGCGCTATTTGTACTTCCAGGGAGCGATTGGAGAAAGTGCCGCGGTGGACAGCCAATGACGTAGAGGAGCATGAAGTAGGCAACCGCAAGTTTGGCGGAAGTCGGATCAGTCCGTCTTTCAGCTTGGGGGCCACGAGATGCTGAATCTCAGTGGTTGGAAACATTGGAGGTCCTGGCCAGCAACAGACATCAGTGGCGTTAATATTGTTCTGCCATTTTATCCTCAAGAAACAAAAAAGCAAAATGGTGTATGAAAAAATAAAAAAAACGTTTTCCATTCCTTATCGCAGTTCGTGTTTCTATTTTCGCCATTTTTCCCATCATGGCTCCGAAGACACAATGTCTGGTAACAGACTGTGAATATATATATATATATATATATATATATATATATATATATATATAGTCAGTTGCTTAACTGAATCTTGAGTGGTTTTATCTACGGCTTCGTTCTTGTGTTCCTTATCGGTGTTCCAGAGACACTCTATACGCCCGAATCATTGTGTTCTACTGAGCAAATGATGTCGGGAGCCACTACACCATGCCCAACCTGTTTCACCATGTTTTTAAACAGGCCATCGTGTGTTGGAACACAAAGAGGCTGTGATTTTATTTCGTTGCTCATAAGCTTCTACGCTCAGTTGTCGCTTACCTATCGCGCTTCCCCAATCCTAGTTCATCGGGTTCAGCGGCAAAAGCTGACACATTTCCTTCCACTTTTCCACCATTTGGTATGTCAACTAACCTCAAATGTTCTTCTACAAAACTGTCTATGTAAGAAAATGCTGCGACGAAAAAGGAATTAAGAGCATGGATCAAGGTACTTCTCGTTTCTATCGTCTGGGGACGAAGCATGGATTGAACCGATTCGTGGTTGGAGGAGGAAATTAATTGAAAGTCATTAGAGAGATAGAGCAATGCTATGTATGAAGTGAGGATCAGAAATAACGTCATTCGACGGAATCGAGTACAGCCGAGTAGGAGGAGGCAAGGTGGTGAACGCAATCTGAGTCAAGTGGAGCAGAAGCATTAGGAGGATGAGCAGGCTGGCACCGCAGACCAAAACTGCAACATCACGCGTTGTGGAGGACAAGAGGGAACATACAAAAGGAAACTACAAAGAAAATCGAAAAAGATGGATGTGATAGTAGCCAGTAGGTTACGAGAGCGAGACTGGCACAAAGCCAGTGGACTGCAAAGCCAATTAGCGCCGCCGACAAAACAAGCTGCTCCCGTTTGCAAAGACCGAATGAACTGACCAGAATTGGATCGGGGTATTGTGAACAAAGCGCAACTTTGTTCCGATCATGACAGACGCGATCCAAAGAGCTGTGAACAAACGGTGAGCGCAATCCAATGGACTCAGGCAGATGGCAAGCGGGAATCAGTCAATGAAAGTGCGCTTCGGTAAAATAGTGATTCAAAGTCGTGTACAGTATGAAATGACACAATGTTCCTTAATAACATATTTTTGGGTCGCTACCCAGCCTTCGTTTTGATTCTCGGAGGGCATTCTGGATAGTAGACCAGGGCTGAACGCACGACTGTGTTGTAAAGGATGCCCTTCCAGGTGGGAGTTACATCGCGGCGGTGTCACAGGTGAAAGAGGCTAGCAAAAGCACCTCGGGCCTCTGTTGTAACACTCATGAACTCACTTATTCCCCAGGTGCTAAGAGGCTGTCTAGGTACTCGAATTTCCGAACGACTCCTAGCTGATCACCACTAGGGGTCAACGCGGGAGTAAAGCGCTGACAAGCTTGGAGGAGCAGTTTGCATTTCGAGAGTGCAAAGCATAACCCGAAATGATTAACAGTTAGTGCTAATCTGCGTAGTGCTGATTGGCACCTGCGTGAGCTGTCAAAGATTAGGGCAATGGCGTCAGCCCATTTCAAGTCAAAAAGTGGCTCATCTGGAAGTAGGTTCACACTTTCTAAGTCGTGTCTGGTCAACGCATTTCGCATAACTGCATCTAGCGCCGTTTGGAGAAAGTCTGAATACAGAGTCCAGGCAAAAGATCCAGCGATAGAGATGATTGTGCTAGATACTTGGTATGTAACACTTGGAAGATACCGATATTATCAGGATAGGACAGAAGGGATCGTCACAACGACTAGTTGGTGTGATGAAAATGGTCAAAGGGAACGGTCAACATACTAGTGTGTCGCACTGACGTTTTGCGACCATGTGACCACTGTCAGTCGCAAGTGTGCTATGGATACTGCGAGGTCGGTCCTAGCTATGCAGGTTGGAACTGGCAACATCTGGATTATAAGACAGATGCCTCATCACTACGGCCACCGGCCGGCCAAAGAGAATGGTAGCTTGACTCGAGTTCCGTGGGAGCTAGCAGTCGAACGCGGGGAGATCTGTGTTACCTCAGACAGGATGAACGATAGAAGTTATACCATCTGTGCCACCGAGAATTTGAATGTGCAGCAGTTCATTTGTACTGACAGGGTCACGTGGGGCAGTTTATTTACCGGCAATAAGAATAACCCACCGAAGTACGCTACAGTCGTCGCCGAGATGTAGTCCGTCACACACACACACACACACACACACACACACACAGTTTCCCTTGGTCTAATAAAGTGACTGTTAAAAACAAAAGGTTGGTCGGAGAATACACAAGAAATTATTGCTAACCCGAAATAAAATCTGTGTCATGTTACAAGCTCTGACATGAACTTGGTAGAACATCCATATTCATGGGAGAGAAGCGATTCTGTTGTGCAACACTGATCAAGCACATTCACGTGGAGGAGAAAGTAGCAGTTTAGAGAGTAGCGTACCGCAGCGTCCGGAACAGTCTTACCATAAGTGCCTCAAGTGATCCGAATCAAACGATACCACTCAGGATTTCGATCTCATCGTCTGCCAATCGTTGTAACTCGATATAGGTGATGTAGACGAAAAACATTTCGTGCAAAGAATCTTAGAGAGAAGAAGAGTTGTAGTAGGGGAATGTGACAGTACCGACACCATAGATTTGCTGCGATAACAGTCGTGCAGTGCTTCATGGAGACTTGCGCGACTCCGAGAAGTGGATCGTGATCTTCCATGAAAGAAAACAGTGTGTGCATAAAGTACCATTCACCGATGAACAAAACGGCGAAAAAACCCAAGTTACAAAAAGCTTTGTGAGCAGAACAGAGGTCGACACAGCGCGACCTATGTACCAACAAAGCTGCTCAGGTGAGTATCAGAGAATTAAGGTGTGATCATCTGGTAGCCTTGGCGGATTTACTTCGTACGTTTAGCAATGAGCCACCGAAGAGATAAGCATGCGGGGTAATTTGAAGTGAGGGTAATGACTAAGATCTTGGAACTATGTTCTGTGGAAGGATGGTGCGGTAATCGATAGTAGTCAGTTGGAAGGGTGAGCAGACGAATCAATATAGGCATATAATCAGCGCAGGTACATTAGTGAATGGGACACCATCATCATCATTATACACGTCAGGTGCCTCAGCAGTACGAAGGACAAGAAGAAAAAAAGACAGTTGCATGCCGGCTGAGTCACCAGTAACGGATGGCATCGTTCCGGAAAGCTAACAGCCGGTTATCGTGCCGCTAAAAGAGGGTTATATTATGCCTAGCAAATGAGATCGTGATTGGAGGGGGAGGCTAAGCAGGAGGGGATGGACAAAGGAACACACAACAGAAACGCCACTGGGGCCGGCTCCTAGCCATATCAGCAAGTGAGTCCAACCAAACGTGTTCATCGTCCTCAGAACCCCAGCCAGGCAGTCGGGATGCACCAACCGACGCCAAATTCGAAGTGAGGGTTTTCATCTCTCTCGACCAAGTCATAGCTTGGCCTCCCCTCCTCCTCTTCTAACTGCATCCCCGGCGCGCAAACAATGCACGTCCCGGAAGTCGGTGTGCTGGCATACGCAACACGTGGCCCAACCATCGGAGCCTGGTGCGTGATATAATGGTGCTGAGTGGTTCACTCGCTCTTCCGGCAGCAAATACGCGACGCCGAACACGCTCATTGTTCACGCGATGCTCCCACCAGAAGTGAACTAAGTTGCGAAGGCAGTGATGATCAAATGTGACGAGTCACTTTATGTCTGTCGACTTGATGGGCCAAGAGAGTTGAACGGACGGCTGCGTTATAAACTCTGCCCTTCAGGGCGAAGAGTAAGGTCGCGTCTGCGCCACAGGTGGCGGAGATTGGCAAAAGCACCTCGAGCTTTTGCTATACCGTTCGTATCCTCATCTTCAATCCCACGGGTGCTAATATAGCTACCCAGGTACTTGAATTCCTGAACGACTTCTACCAGATCACCACAAAGCGTTA